AGTGTCTTTGAATGGTAAGCTGGTAACTGCAAAAGGGTGCAGTGACAGTACTGAATTCGTCAATTGGGATGGGATACACTACACAGAAGCTGCAAACTTCCATATTGCATCGCAGATCCTGACCGGGAAATACTCTGATCCTCCGTTTCTGGATAAGATGCCATTTGTCATAAAACCTAGATTCTGATTAGCATACACTTACATTTTTCCCCTTTACTCAACCACTTTAACAGCATTGGTTGCAGATACGATGTATTTATTACTTGTCAATAACCATATATAGCTTGATGTCAAAAAATAAAATCATATATGGCTTGGTTTCAATTGCCTATAGCTTCTTGTGCCCATTTTTTATGATTACATGGCATTATCCAAGTTGAATAGTAAGGGCCTGTTTGTTTGGGCTTCTCGGGACCTTATTTTGGACATCAGCTTTTAGACTTTTCAAAAACTAAAAAGCTCTTGAAAGCCAAAAGCCAGAAGGTCACTGTAGTGAGCTTTTGGTCTTTTAGCTTAAGAGAGCTGTTCGACTTTTAAACATTCGAAAAGCTAGTATTCTAAAAGTAACCAAAAGCTCAAAACAAACATGTCCTAAGAGCTCCACGTTGTAACCAATGCTGAGCCACAGAGGTAATAACTTAACTGCGGCGATGAATTGCTGTCGATTTTCACATAATGAACCCAGTATAATAAAAGCATAATAATATGCTACCACAAGAAAAATTAACCGGCACGGGTGTGCACTTGTATTAATCATTCTCTGTTCACTTCTAAGAATTCCAACAGAAGAAGCTCAACCTGGGAGATGAAAAATCCTCTTCAGTATAACATTTACTGTACAGCACGCTATGGTTCACTCACTTCTTGGACACGTAGGCGTAGTACTGCGCCATGGGCACGACGAAGGCGATGACGAGCAGGCCGCCGACGACGAGCGTGAACTGCCCGCGCTTCTCCTCCGTCTCCTCCTTGGTCCTGAAGTTGGACTCACGCTTATTCTCCTTGAACGACGGGCCCCCGGTGTCCGGTAGCCCGTCGATCGCCGCCGCTAGCCGCTTCGCCGTGCTGAAGATCGCTTCGTTGTACTTCTCGTCGGTCGCGAGCACTGCAGCAAAGCCAGCAAACAATTGCAAGTTAGGATCGGAGGCCCGTCTCGATTCGACGGCGATCGAGGGTGGCTTGGCCTTAGCTACATACCTGGGAGGTTCTCAGACACGGTGGCGTCGAGAATCTGGTCGCCGACGGCCTGGATGAAGGCGGCCCCCGGTGACGGCGCCCTCCTTCTGGCTGGTGACGAGCACGACGATGCCCTTGTTGTTGCCCTCCTCAATCGTGGGGTACCACTTCTCCAGGACTTGGTCCGCGTACTCGAACGCGTCAGCTTTGCTCTGCGACACTCTTGATCCATGGGTCAGTGATCAGTCTAGCAAACGACACGTACGGCCGGCGGCCGGCATGGATGCATGCCGGCTGCAATTGCAATGCCGGCGGGGCGGCGTACGTACCGTGAGCTTGCGGACGGTGATGAAGTTGAGGCGGATGTTCTTGCGGGCCTCGAGGTCGCGGGCCAGCCGCTTGACGTCGGACTTGGTGACGCGGCTCAGCACGCCGGCGTCGTCCACCACGTACGAGTCCACGGGGGGGCCGTCGTTCAGCACGTCGAACTCCGACGCCACCGCCGGCGCGGGCGCCGGGGCCAGGCTGATGGCCAGCGACAGCGCGGCCACCGCCAGGCCGTGGTGCAGGAACGACATCCAGCTCCTGCCGACGACGACGCCGTCTCCATGGGAGGAGGCAGCGACGACGGCGCCGGCCTGTGGCCTCCTGAGCGCGCAGGAGACGACGGTGGACCTGGACGAGACGCTAGCGGTCAGAGACGGTCTCCTGGAGCCACGGAGTGATGGCGTGAACAATGTGGAAGGGGAGAGGAGGGTCTCCATTGCTGCCGTGGGGAGCTCGGGGAAGGAGGGGAGGAATCACGCTCGCATCGTGGGGGCACAGATCACTGGAGGTCTGGAGCTTCTGCTGCGCCCGTCTGGTCTGGATTGTGATTGGGTGGCTGGGATTCTGGAGCCGGATAAGGTGCCGTGCCAGTGTGGACGGCGCTTGTTCTGGTTGTGACAACTCATGAGTCATGACTATGTCCACGTGTCAGGCTAATGCACTCCGGCGTTCACTAACTAAGGGCGTCCACAATGTATTTAACCGAACTCGGCATCAGCAAGAGCGTGGACCCAAGAAACTGACGGAAGGAGTGATCCATCGATCGCACAATGTTTGATCCGGAAATAAGTAGGCCCTAACGCATGGAAACAGTAACGTCATGGGGAGAGAATGAAAAGAGGTGTATAGTTTCTAGGGACTAACTTCTCTCTCACATCAAATATTTGATACTAATTAGGAGTATTAACGGAGGCTAATTCGTGAGAAGAATCTATTAAGTCTAATTAGGCTATGATTAGCGAATGTAATGCTACAGTAAACATATGATAATCATAAAATAATTATGCTTAATAAATCCGTCTTCGTAAATTAGTCATGGCTTATGCATTAGTTTTATAATTAGTTTATATTTAATCCTTCTAATTGATATATAAATATTTAATGTGAAAGGGACTAAAGTTTAGTTTAAGATAGCCAGAGTGCTTCTTGCCGGTAGCAATTTGTTTATTCCTTCTTACCCCTTTCTTACCACCCATTGCGGAGGCCCTAATAGTAGGTGGTTAAATTGTTGTACTAAGGGCAGCCACAATATTGCAAAAAGTGACATATAAGCCAACGAAAGTAGTCCTTATGTGTGTCAATTTATAAAGTGTTCTATATAGACGTCCGAACTAAAGTAGTCCATATGCGTATTGATGGGCCACAAGCAATAAAATATACTACTTTCTTTCTTCCCCTCCGCTCGCTACCACACGTGTCATGCTTCCCGCGAGCTCATCGAGCATCAGATCCATAGCAAGGTGATTGGCAAGAGGACTGACGACGAGACCGACGTGGAGGTCACCATCGGTGATGGCGGAGGCCCCGGCCGTCCATGAGCATACCGAGGCCGTCGCCTGGCCATCGACGCAGCAAGGTCACCGACCCCAGACGTCCGTGCGCAACGAGGGCCGTCACCAAATGTCTCCGGTCTCTCCCATCTGGATAGATAGAAGAAGGCTGATTCGGGTGGGTGGGGCGGGGGGTACAACGATCCAAGACGAGTTCTATCGATTCTGGGTGGAAGTAGGCTGATCTGGGCGAGGATAATGCCGCCGAGGGAGGGACGGGGGCATAGAGCTAGAGGAAAATCTCGCAGCTCGGTAGTAATGAGAACTATTAATCTTGCTTTCAACAGCTTACCGTCAGGATAGTAATGAGCTCTGAGCACCCTAGCACGTAGGAATTCTGGTTCGCCGAGAAGTCTTCAAATTTACTTTGCTAACATCGCCAAGTTGAAATACTTCAAGTCTCTAAACCCCATATCTCATTTCCCCTTCGGTATACATAGCTTCTATCATTTTTTCCAATGAAACATCTTATAATCATTATTATCACCCCACCAGTAGTGGGATATAGCGTTTGTAACCTTTGCAAATGCGTACCGAAAAATTTAAACACCATCGTCGCATAAACCGGCACCGCTTGAGCAATTGATTTTGACGAGTCCTTGGCTACCAAACTCAGAGCCTCATCAAACTCGAAGTTCTCGCGTTAATCAGACATGAGTTAACAGAAATCACCACGTTTCTCTTCCAGTGGCTCTCTTTTCAACCTGTCTGTCTCCAACGGACTTGGCAAAACAAGGCGCAAACATTCCAAATACGTCGTCGTCGAGTGTTTTCGATGAAACAAACGTGCGTGTTCAGACAACGGATGATGCCCCTACCCATTTTGCGTAGCAGTGCGAATCGCAATGCAAATAAGCGCCGCCTCTCCACGATAAAAATCTCCCGATGCGGACGACGACACGGCGAGGATATGCGCTCCTCTTTCCTCCTCCCCTTGTGCGCCCCCTCCCTCCACGCCCCTGGAGATGCTGAGTGCTGGGCAACAGGACGCCGCCGTTGCTTCGATCGGTCAATTTTATGGTGAAAAAAAACCCCACCCCACCATCCCATGAAAATATGATCGTTCGGCGTTGGGGGAATCTCCCAGCTCGGTAGTAACGAGAACTCTGAGCGCCCTAGCACGGGAATTCTGGTTGGCGTGAGAAGTCTTCAAATTTCAACTTTGCATAGGCATCGCCGGAAGTTGAAAGCTTCAAGTCTCTAAACCCCATATCTCATTTCCCCTTCGGTATACATAGCTTCTATCATTTTTTCCAATGAAACATCTTATAATCATTATTATCACCCCACCAGTAGTGGGATATAGCGTTTGTAACCTTTGCAAATGTTTTTTTTTAAATTTAAACACCATCGTCGCATAAACCGGCACCGCTTGAGCAATTGATTTTGACGAGTCCTTGGCTACCAAACTCAGAGCCTCATCAAACTCGAAGTTCTCGCGTTAATCAGACATGAGTTAACAGAAATCACCACGTTTCTCTTCCAGTGGCCCCGCCTCAGCGCCACGTTTTGCGCCACACCGCTTATCCACATAAATGCTTTACAACATATACGTGATTTAGCGTAAAAAAATACATGGAGTTTTTCTCTCTCTCTCCCTCTCTCTCTCTCTTCAACCATCTCCGAAACGCACGCGCGTTCTGGGCACTGGAGACCGTCAGTCGCATTCCGTCAGACCTCGCTCCGATAAGTCACGTGTTCTGCGCACGTGATATGTGGATCTGTGATCTTGTGATTTGTGATTGGAGATAGAAAAAGACTGAAGGTAGAAGAAGACTAAAGGTAGAAGAAAGATGGAGTTTGTTGATCTGATGGAGTTTGTTGATCTTAATTTGTATGTAAAAAAATTCATGTTGGGTAGACAGAATCCGAAATCACCCCCGTGCTCGCTCTCGCCATGGCTCCAAACCGCACTCGGCCCTCGTCTCCGCCGCTCGGCGCGGCGCCATGCCCCCCGCCGCGCTCCTCCCGCTCGCCCCTTTGCCGCATCACCCGAACCCAGCACGGCGACCTCTGTGCCGCTGCGGGGCCTCGCGCCGCGGCTTCACCGTCCACACCGCCATCGCCATTGCCTCGGCCTCGGCCTCCGCCTCCGACTCCGCCCCCATCGCGGCCGCGGAGGCGACGTCCCCATCTCCGCCCCCCTCGCCGCCAACGCAAACGCCTTCCTCTAAACCGGAATCCCCGGTGCTGGGCGGCATCGCGAACACGAGGTCCTGGTCGCAGTACTACGGCAGCGGCTTCTCCATCCGCGTGCCTCCGTCCTTCGACGACATCCTCGAGCCCGAGGTAGTTACCAACCTGAACTGTTTCTTCTCGCCTACGTTCCATCTTCCTCCTGCGGTTAGGGTTGCTGGCCGTCGCTGGGGTGCGGGGGAGCTCAGTGTTTGGTTTCGAATTGGTGAATGCTGACTCCTTTAGTCCTTCCGCGTCTCAGGACTACAATGCCGGGATGACATACTACGGCGACAAGGCCAAGCCCCGGGCGTACGCGGCTCGCTTCGCGTCTCCAGATAGGTAGGTTGGTAAGGCCTCGCTCTATTCCATGAACTGCGGCCATTCCAGTTCTGTACTGTACATTAATTTGTGGTTACACAAGGATGCTGTCGGAATGAATTTTGGTGGTGACGTGTTGCACATGCTAAATGTGGAGTGCTCTGCTCCTTTGTTTGATGTAGGGATGAGCTCATAAGTGTGGTGATTAAGCCATCAAATCAGCTCAAGATCACATTCCTAGAGGTTATAAGAGCTTTGATTTTATTGTTTTTGCCAGGCGTCTGTATGTTATGTGTTCTCACATCAGTTTAGAGCATTCTCTTGTATCCTTGAAACATACATAGAAGATAGAACATAGACAAGCTTATTAAAAGGAGTTTGAACATAGGCAAACTTTGTAGACTCATAACTTTCTTAATAATTATATCTGGCATCAGAGGGAGTAGTCTGTAAGCTTGTCTATAGCTGATACGACACCTTATAGACAAGCACTTGTATCATCAGTTGAACTTGCTCTTATTACTTTTTAGTGCGATGAATTTCCAAAGTGTATTGAGTTTGTGTGTTTAACAATAAAAGGGCACACCAGCATAGGTATGAATATGACCAAAACCTTCTTTGTAAAGAAAGAGTCAATTAATAAGGCCTATATTATCAGACGCATTGATGCTGCCACTGATTTGCTCACCATGAAGGAACTTTATATGGTCTGTGCATGACCATTTCTAAATGATGTTCCAAAAATATTTGTTTGCAGGCAAAAGATATAACTGATTTGGGAACTCTAAAGGAGGCATCCAAGATATTTGTACCTGGTGATTTCTGTTATCTTAGAATTGGATGCTGCGCTGTTTTCTTTACAAACAAATTAGATGACAATGAATATGAAGCGTTCACATATTTCATATATCAATGATGAAAATAATCAATGTTGGACCTAGCTTCTTGTGGTTTGTGCATTATAAATGAGACAGTTCATCTTATGATCAGCCTGACACATATTAACGTTTACATCTTTGACTTACTTTGCATCCAAGTTTTTAAAGCTAGCAAAAATTGTGCCACTTACTGTCATGATTAGTTGCACAAATAGGAAGCCTGTTTTAGCCAATGTGCTTTTCAAGACCTTTTTGTTTAACATTATATTGTCTTGGCACTATATAGTGTCGCTATTTCAAAATTTTCCCTTTCATTACAGAAATATAGACTGAAAAGTTAAACCCCATTCTAACACACAAAGAAACATTGATAAGGAAAATATGAAGTGAGACTATTATATTAAATTCTAAAGCATTGATATGATGTACTGATCTGGGATGATTTGCCTTATATATTTTTGTTTCGTTTTGTAGCTGGTGCAAAAGTATTCTCAGCTCGAACAATTAAAGTTAAGGAAGAGGAGGATATTAGGTACTATATGATCTTTGTACTAACTTTATAGAAAAATATCCAATTAAAAAATATTCCTAGTTATAAATAGCATCCAAATTCGGAAATAGTTTTCCTTTGTAATTTTTTCATGAGTAATTTTTCCACAGGACATATTACTTCTATGAATTCCATCTGGACAAACAACATGTTGCTCTGATGGCTACCATGAATAGTGGAAAGGTACTCAGCTGTTCTTTTGATTCACATTCTTAAATGAGTATTGATTCCTATGCATTTGCACTTTTCAGTTGGATTATATCTACTCCATGTCTTCTATGCTGCTTTCTGTACTCCCTCTTCTGAAATATAAGGGATTTTCAGTTGTCCTAAGTCAAACGATCCTAAGTTTGACCATCTTAAATATTATTGTTCTTTTCTTCAAACTTAGGATGGTTTGACTTAGAGAAAAAACTGAAAATCCCTTACATTTCAGGACGGAGGGAGTATTTGTTTTCTTTCCTTCATCTATTTGTATCACTACTTTCTCTGTTTCTTTACTACTAGGGGCTTAGATTCTGATATTTAAATTTTTCTATTATGAATAGGTAAATGTATGACAGAACCATATAGGCACAACACATATATGCAAATCTTAGTTCTGCTATACTTAAACAGCTTGGAAGTTAGAAGGCACGCACTGGTTGTTTACAATGATGGTGGGTCAAGGAGCTCTCCAACACAACATGCTGTTTCATGCCTGTTTGTTGGGCTTTTTGGCTTTTGGCCCAAAAGCTTAAAAAGCCCAAAAAAGGGTTGCAACTGGAAGCTGCTCTTTAGCAATCTGTATAGCATTTTGAAATTTGGTTTGATTTTGGCTTTTGGCTTTCACCTTCTTTTGAAATTGGTGGAATAAAAAGCTCTTCCATAGTTGTTTCAAGAGAGATAAAGATAAAGGTATATTTTATACTTGTTTAACCACACTTTTCAGCCATCACAGCAATCAACCTCACAGGCCTAAATTTTGTCACCCTTCCTCCGCGCTCATGCACAAGATAGCCATCACACAATCGTCACTGATCGTCCAGGCTGCTGCAGTCTCTGCATCAACCTCCTCCTCAACAGGAGCCTTGTCATTGAGATGAGATACCTGACCAATACCCCTGAGTAGCACACAACTGTAGATGCCATAGGTGATAATTCTGGTCATTCAGCTTGCTGATAATGTCAGCATAGTATCATGAAAGGCCATAGGCTAGGACAGCAGCAAGGACGCGCCACAGCAGTGTGAATTGTGAGAAACAGGTGCAGCAGTCAGTCACAACGCACGAACAAGTCCGTAAAGCAGGACCAAATGCACAATGCAGCGGCACCAAGCACTTTTGACTCTTTGACCAAAGGCCAAAAGAAAGTAGAAGAATCCACTGAAACATCCCTTGCTATAAGCACACGACATGACACAAGTTTGCAGATGGCTTCAGGCAGTGGAAGATTTGGCGGCTGCAGACGACTCCAGTGGTGGTAACCGCACCAGGAGGGCCCTGGGCAGCGGCACTTCACTGAGCGGAAATCCAGAGCAGTGGAGCACCGCTGGAGCTGGACTCCGGACGCCGAAGTCTGCGGTGGGAACAGACTGGTATTCAAATCAGGCCGCCAGGACAACAAGTCCCTGCCGGCGGCAAGCCAATCTCTCTCAGATTGCACTGCTAGCAGCGGCTGAAGGCGACTCCAGTACAGATACTGAGACAACTACAGCAACTGGTTTTGGAGGGCGGCAACTAGCAGAGAGCCGGCTGACTGCTGGCGGAATAATAATCAGATCAACGACCGATCAAAAAAAAAAAAAATCAACGACAGAGGACAGTTTCGGCCTAGGCCCTTAACGTTAGACCCAACCAGGCCTGGCGAGATGTTCAATGGGCCAGCCTGCCCAGCCATATGGGCCAAATATACACATACAGTACTTGGCACTTATTACTGTACCAACATATATCAAGTTATTCTCTTTATTCTGGCCATGGAAGTAATTAATCAAACTTTTGTTCCTATCAAAATACAAAGTAAATCAAACTTTGTATTGTTAAAATATCCCTTAATTTGTTGAACTGAAAACTTATGCCAATCTTTAGCTACGCCTTGTTCACTTTGCAAATCTTTTTAACTTGATGAATAGTATCACTTTCGTCTTATTTGGCAAATATTGTCCAATCGTGGATCAACTAGGATCAAAAGATTCATCTCGTGATTTCCAACTAAACTGTGTAATTATTTATTTTTTTTACCTACATTTAATACTCTATGCAAGCGGCTAAAAATTGATGTGATGGAGAGAGAGTGAAAAAACTTGGAATTTGGATGGCATGTAAACAAGGCCCTAGTTCCTATACAACTCACCTTATCACCTTAGACAATTGCATTTTCTTCCTGATTCTTCAATTTTCTTGAATTTTGTGTTGTCATGTGGTGACAGACGTACATTGCCGGCGCTACTGCTCCAGAGGTGAAATGGGGTGACGACGGCGTGAAGTTGCGTTCGGATGCCGTATCTCTATCCGTTTCATGATTGATTGTGTAAAAGATGACAACAAAAAGGATTGGGGTACAATTCTCGGATTCAGCAGTATCCATAGAGATCGATTACTATCCTAGTCATGGAAAGAAGGTAAATAGTTCTATTAGTCGGCAAAAGCAACAAAGCACTGGATGAGACTGCACAAGAGTTGTCAAGTCTGTAAACGATTTTGGAAGTGGATATTTATTGCTATGAAGACTGGCATCATAATTGAAATTTGATTATTGAAATCTTGTTTACCTACAACTGATATGTTCATTCTAAATTGTAAGTTGTTTTAATTTTGTTTTAAGTCAAACTTATCTAGTTTTGGCAAAGTACACACACATCTACAGTATCTCTCTTTGTTCTAAATTATAAGTCACTTATACATAGCAAATTTGATGTACCAAAAAAGTCAAAAGCGATTTATAATTTGAAACAGAGCGAATATCAAATAGATTTATCAGGTACAATATGGAATATAATTTGAAAGTGTATTTGATCGATACCATAGATGTTGATTGTATAAACTTGATCAAAGTTAGATGAGTTGGATTTAGACAAAACTAAGTTCTCTTAGCACAAGTTAGAAGACTAGTACTCTTTACACAATTCTAATAGTATAGCTTGATTTCTCACGTGCAAGTAATCGGGCACCATTCCTCGGCCTCAACATGCATGCAAGCAAGTGGCCAGTTAATCGATGACCTGTTTGGCAGGACTGAAAAATAAGTCAAAATACTGTTCCGACTGATTATTATGAGAGAAAAACACTGTTATGTCTGAAAACACTGTTCATGTGAACAGTGATTTCGTGGGTGGGCTGGCTGGCCACCAGCCAGCCGAACGCGCCATGAGTGTGTGAGCAAGAGAAGTCTGCACGGTAAACCAAGCATGCAATCTCAATGGATGTACAGTCTCAGTTTTCAAGACTCAATGTATTGGAAAAGATGTAGATGAATTTCATCTCCAAAAAACTTTTATCATTCCTCTCTTCGTCTATTCCAAGACTCAATGTATTGGAAAAGATGCCGATGAATTTCATCCCCAAGAAACTTTTATCATTCCTCTCTTCGTCTATTCCACGTCATGTCAGCTCATTTAATGCCATGGAATTCTCAGGCGAAACTTGAAATTTCCATAATTAGACACTAATTGCCTAATATAAGGGGCTGCTATTTAGTAGCCCCAAAAAAAATTTGCATCTAAACGCACCATAAACATTGAATCTTTTGCCCAAGATACATGCCTTGTATACTAAACGGAGAGAGTATTCATCAGAACTCTTGGAAAAACTTAAATAAAATCTTTAATGAAAATTGAGTTTGGGCTCCAAATTCAGGAGTTGGTAGAGAAATCAAGGTGAAAAGACAACCAAAAACATTCTTTGACGAAAGTTGGGCGATAGAGCAAGACATTCTACAAAACGAACATGTAGTCCTCCACTTGTCAAGACCGAAGCCACATCCAACATTGAGGACTCGACAAAGTGGGTCAGAAGTAGTGTCTTAAGAGTCAGGATCTATATGAGTAAAACTCATGTACCAAACACGCTGTAACGATATAGATAAGAGATTGACATCCAACAATTGAGCAACACAGGATGCATCTTTTACCTATATATAGGACTCCAAACTCAGCAGGAGATGCATACATGGCAACATCCATCAAGTTCTTCCCGGAACGGAAAAAAAGGGAAGGGGGGAGGGAAGGATGAAAACAAAAGGAAAACCCTGTCCTGATTCTGAATTCACCTATCCCTAGACCCATACCCTTCTACGGCTTCTGAACTCCGCTACTCACTCACAAAGTCACAAGTCACAAACCCGGCTAAATTACAGGGGACCAAAAGCCCTCGAGAAAGAAAAAAAAACACACACAGGTCACCAAAATACACAGACGTTCAAACTCAACTGCCCGCGCTTTTTGACCATTTCTTCTTCTTCTTTTCTTTTCCCCCCCCTTTTTTTTTTGCCTCGACGACGAGAGAAAAAACACTCCAATAACCCTACGAATTAAACGGTGGCTCAGTGCATCGGGTCCTACTTGACCGTTCGGTTCGACGGCGACGTGACGTCGGGCGGGTCCTCAGCCCTGTGCCTCGATGGGCGACATCATCGCCGAGAACCGGCGCTTCTGGATGAGCGGCGGAAGGTGCTTGTTGTACCGCTTCGGCCCGACCGTCCACGGCAGGAACACGCCGGTGCCGCTCCGGCCCATCCGCTTGCTGATGTTGCCGCCGCCGGTGCCCGACGAGGCCATCACCATGGGCCTCGCAGGCGCTGCGGCCACCATCATGACGGGCGCGCGCATGGCCATGCCCCAGGCCGCGGGCGCCAGCACGGCCTGCGGGGTCGGGGCATAACCGATGATGGCACCGCTGACCGGGGGCTTCTGCGTTATGCACGCGGGCGCCGCCACCTGGGAGGCCGTGGCCGGCTGCGGCTGCCAGGGCGTCATGGCCTTGGTGGGGGACGGGAGTGGGCTCAGGTCCACCGGCGTGGATGGCCACCCTTTGCGAACGTGATGCTCACGCGCCGGTTGGACGACGGGCACACCACATGGCGCGCCATGTCGGCACTGTTCCCACGCATCACTAATAGGGACCTGCAGGTTTTTGGAGCGCAATTCCATGACCATGAGCCTTATGTTTCATCTTAGATAGTATGATTAAATAGATAATGCAATTGTTAAGCTTACCCTTTCTTTAGTGAGAGTGTGAGAGGTCCCTTGTAGTTGCCGTTGCTGTCAGTGACAAGTGACCTGCCAAATGCCATCGTAGTTTCAGACAGCAGAAGAGTGCAAATGGGGTTGTCCAGATGGGGAGGCTTGAAGTAGGGCTGCGAATGTTCATCCTGCGAAACAGATTAACTGACTTGTGAGAGCCTAAAAATGACACTTGCCCAAGGAAGGGATATTTGCTGTTTGTAAAACTGAGCTATCTATCCATGCCCCGTAGAGAACACAGATGTCCAGGTAACAATTTATTAGTGTTAATAACAAATTTGTGTCAGTAAGGTAACATCTTTTTTCTTCAGTTTGTCAACCCTGTTATCTCACCCCCAGTTTTTGTTACTCACTAAATCAAATGTAAAGTTGACAGTGTCAGACAAATGTTTTTCAATTCTGTTTTTACCGGCCCCACAATTGGCCAATTGTAGGTTCACTAGAGGATAGTTAACAGTGTGTTTTAAGATATACATAAAATAAAATTTAAATTTAAACCACACTCAGTGTGTTATAATTCTAAAATTCTATATTATTCTAAACAGAAGGTGAATGGCCGTAGTTCTGAAAGAGGCCAACTTTATTCAACTCGGGTGAAAGGTACAAAATCTGCACAGATATTATGACTAATAGAAGCGAAAGAGCATTTGATTTCATCGAGTGTGCTGTCATGTTTATTTATATAGTAATAAAACATCAACATCTACCTCATCGAAGAAGTTGATGATGACACTGTTTGGTTTCCTGCTTTCTGGTATTAAACGCCAAAGAACAAGGTGGTCAATGACAGCCTGCAGGACAAGGGGGATTGGTTCTGTGTGACCTGTGGACAAGGAGAAAAAGAGGACATTTGTGACATAATTCACAAGGCATTTCAATGTCTTTAGATGACATAGTCATACAAATATGCTATGCACAAAAGGCATATGCTTGCCAGTGTAAGCAAGTTGAAGAAAACGGGGTACTGAGTCTTCGGAACATACAATTAGCTTCCTCTGTGGTAGGTTGAAATAACGCCCACCTAGCTGTATGATCTCCCTCTTGTTTCCTTTGATCTGCTTGTTGAAGAATATGAAAGTCTCACCTAAATTTGAAAAACAAAAAGATATATAATAAGCACCGGACTGGACAAGGAAATTGCACCAAGGCAATATTACAAGATACTCATTTCATTGAGCACGTAAACATACAGTCACATTTCAAGAGACAAAATAGATGAACACACTGACCAGAGCTAAGAAAAAAAAATTAGTGGTTTCCAAGTTCAGGTAGCTTACTTGGATGTGATGATTTCAGCCAAAACCCAATGGGAGCGTACCCAGGTTGTGGGTTCTATGTCAATTCTTAAGTAGGGGTCAGCATAGTCAGGAACTTAAGAGGTCAGTTGAGGTCTTACTTGGATCAACATTTTGTTGTGCACGACTTTGGAAGGACGTTACCATGGCTTGGCACGACCTATTCCAATAAAACAGAAGCGATCTAATTCGTTACTAGTATTAAATTATATATTCAGTTCAAAGGTGCTTTTTTTTCATTAAGAGAGGTAAACTTCAAGTTAGCTGAAGGGAAAGACATGTCAAATCGGTCAGCGTGTTAGTCACTGGGTTGCTAACTTTACTTTTGTTTGTTAGATTCAAGGTCTACTGTACCTAGGAAGATAGATCAGTACTAGTAATCTTGCCCTGTTCGCTTGACTGATAAGTCATGGCTGAAAGTATTATTGGTTGATTTGTTGTGAGAGAAAAATATTGTTCGTTGGCTAAAAACGTACGACTTATAAGTCAAGCGAACAGGACAAGATTACAAATTTCAGCATCTTATGCTTTTCTGTTTCTATAATGGGGCCGTTCGATGGTCTGGAAAGACCAGCCAGTCGGTAACTCCCCCTCTCAATTTACTGTTCACCAAAACAGCCGAACAGTGTTTTTTCTCTCACAACAATTTAGCCGGAATAATGTTTTTCAGCCAAATTTCAGACCAGCGAACGGAGCCAATATGAGGGCGACAATTGCTAGGACCTCGGACCTAGATCTATGAGCCAGTTAGCAAAAAATTATATAAGACAAAAAATCAGCAATGGTAAAAGGTAATGATTGATAGCCTGAACTAGGACCACAGTTAGATCATATGCATGCATTTTGGTATCTTATTAAAGCATCAATGGATGATACCGCAGATTTTTGTTTTTTTTTCTTTTGGAGAAATAACCGCATGTTAGCTATGGAAACTAATAGAAGTAAGCAAACACAATGAAAAAATAATACTACATTTTTTAGACATATAGGTAAACTTCATGAACGAGAACTTCTGAAGCAATAGGAACACAACTTACCTGAAAGTTCTCCATTTCTGCCAGCCCGACGAATTTCATTGATGAATTCTGCAACTTTCATGATCTCCGTGTTAGTTGATCTCCACCAATTTACCCAATTGGGCGCTTGGATCCGCATCCTGATTGGGGGCGCCCAACCCTAATATGGTTGGTGGGCTCCCGTCGCACAGCACCATAAATAGGAGGTGGGGGCCGGAGCGCCAAGCACGAGGTTCGCCTAAGCCGCCTAGCACCCCACCTATAGTCATAAACCTTAACCGATCACAGAGGGGGCGCTGCCAGTGATGGGAAGCACCGCCACCGCCCAACGCCGCCGCTGCACCGCCGCCCTTTGACTCAGCACCGCCACCGGGTCTTCACCAAGCACAACGATGGCGAGCCCGTCTTCCTCGAAGGCGGCCGATGGTTTGCACCCCTTCACCCCCCTCTCTCTCTCACTCTATCTATTAATATTGTACTAGTAGATGTTCTATGACTCACTGTTTATTCTAAAAGCAAGTAGACACGCTAGATCTATGGCTAGTGATCCTATTTTAAGTCTATCAATGGTATCGGACGCCTTACTAGGTGTAGATCTAGCCTATCGGATAAGAAAACCGAGTAGCAGCATTTAGAAGGAGGTGATAGATTTGTTTAGGGATCTAAATAGAGGGTTCTTCAAACCCTAAACCCAATTCAGGTGAAGAAAAGAAATAAGAGAAGGGTCTCGGTTTTGAAAAGCAACTCAAACCCTAACCCTAACCCTAACCCGCGCAAACCGCTCGGGGAAGATGAACAGTAAGGAAACCCTAACCCTAATCTCGATCCTAACACCATCCCCAACCCTAAATCGAATAGATCTGAGAAGAAAAGAAAGAAAAATCCAATTAGAGAAGAAAAGGGGAAGGGGAAGAGGCATACTTCATCATCAAGATGCATAGCCTGCCGCCTTCGTCGTGTGTGAGAAGAAGAAGGTCGAGCCACAGACGTTGAGTTAGTGAGCGCGTGCTCAGCTAAGAAGCTGTGGTAAAGCCACTCGACGGCGGCGAGCTCACCCGCTGGGGAGCGCGCGCGCCAGCGAGGGGGCCGACAACGGCGCCATCATCGCCTCACCTCACTCGGTGTCGTCGCGGGGCTAAGAGAGAGAAGGTGGAGAAGAGGCCGGTCGGATCTAGGGTTTTGAGAGCTCCTCACCACAACACATGTGGGGATTAGGGCACCGCCGCCTAGACCGCTCGACGGCGGCGCGCTCACCCTCTGGGGAGCGCGCACGCCGACGAGGGGACCGACGACGGTGCCATCACCTCTCTTCGCTCTCACTGTTTCACTCGCTGCTGCTGCGCTGAGAGAGGAGAGGGAAGGAGAAGAATGAATTAGGGTTTGGGAGCGCCGGTCGGCGGGGGTTTTATCTCCCGAAGTCGACGCCTGACCATCGGATCTAGATGAACGGACGACGAGAGCGGGCCAACATTTGGCCCAAAGGGCAGCGCTGCGGCGGTGGCGATTTTGTCGGCCCCAGCCCAAAGTTGTGGCACTCGAAGGCCGCAGCACAATGTGAGAACAAAAGAGTCAAAGCCGGGCAATTTCATTGTTTCAACGGACTTGGGCCACATGAACGGTGTTCTACGAGTTTAAGTTTTATCCTTTTTTCAGAATCAATTTTTGACGATATTTGTCTAGTTTAATATCTCTGTTAAAATTTGTACCAACGGGATAATTTTTTAGAGAATAGTTGAGAAAAGTTCAATGCTTCTGAAAAATAGATAATGAATTTTTCATGTTTCCGCTGCAATGTTAAAATTAATAATCTTCTAATTAAATTCGATCCAACGGAAGAATTTAAATTGAAGAGTAGTCAATTTTAATCAGTAAATTATAATATTGTTATTTTTCTGACCAATGTTGATAATAGCAATATTATAATGTTTATTCATAATGTTTTTCATGCATTAATTCTATTTCTACCCAACGGTGATGTTGAATTAGTGTATAAGAATATTGTATGTTTTAATTTTGATCAACGTTAAATTAAAGCATGCAATTATAATGTCATAATTTTTCTCATTATCTCTGACGGTGTTTTTCAGGACTCAACCTAATAGCATTCATCTCGCACATACCACCTCTAGAATGAGAAAACTATAGGGTATGGCGAGAGAAGTATGAACTAGCACTTACGCTGTCTGAAAATGACCTAGCGCTTACCTCTCCGTGTCCTACTGAGTCAGTGGACCCGGTGAGGGAAGAAAATGAGTCTGATGCTGATTTCACTGCTCGACAGCGAGATCATACAGAAGTGCGGATGAAGTATGATCTCGAACACAAGAAATGTGTCATTTTAAACCGTAAGTGCTTGATGGTGGCTAAGTCCACAATTTCAGATGCTATAAGGGGGTCTATCCTAGACTGTGATACCACCACTGAGTACCTTAAGAAGGTGGAGAGTCAGTTCACTGGCTCTTCAAAGGCTTATGCTAGTACATTGATCAAGAAATTGTTCGATGAAAAATATACTAATGGTGGTATTAGAGAGCACATATTGAAGATGATCAACACGGCTTCAAAGCTGAAGCCAATAGATTTGGAGCTCAAGGATGAGTTCCTGATTTATTTGATTTTTGCTTCATTGCCAAAAAAATATCAAACCTTTATCGTTAACTACAACATGCAGACTGACGAATAGGACATAAAGAAGCTCATCGTAACGTGTGTGCTGTGGCACCAGACTACTACTCATTGACCTGTGTCAACCCTTGCTCCTGCTTTCGAAAGAGACGTCACTGTCCACGAGCTAAAGATCGCATTGAGATATTCCCAAATAAGAACGTAATCCTGACCTCCAGCTTTTGGCCGGTAAATGTACCTGGACGCCCCCTGTACTCACCTGGCTCTGCTTTGGAGTTTTGACTTTGCAACTTCAACTTGAAAGGTGAGTGACGATGAATGAAAGAGCTTTAGTTACGTCAACCATGTAATAATATAGATACTCCCTTCGTTAAAAAAAAAACGCAAACTAAAAGTTTAAAATTTATCCTATAAAAAACGCTCATGTTAACAGAGTAAAGGTAGTAGGGGTATATGGGACCCGCCACTGCTGGGCATAAATCCAAATCTCACGTTAAAAAAGCACCGTGCCAATTAAAAGAAACGCAAAAAGCCTTACAGGCAGACACGTGGACGCTTGCCCTTCCACACGTTTCAACCCCAGCATGGTACTTCGTGAACCTTCCTGTGTTGTGTGATACGAAGACAGAGGTGGAAAGTCTGACTGTCTGTCATCCCTAGGGGTATTTTCGTCATTTACCAACTACCTTGGTTTCCAAGCCCAATTCTGGAATTGCAATTTTTTTTAGATGAAGGAAATATACTGGTGTCTAGTACTAGTACTATAGATGCTTCAAAAGTGAACAACTCGACAGACATCAGGAAAAGAAGTGAAGAACGCAAGCATTTTTATGTAGCAAAATCGATCTTGTCAAGTCCAACCAGCTTGACAAATTTTTCTAGGGGAATGAAATCGAAGCCAATGGTCCTCTTGACCTCTTCCGAACCGTCAACAGTGCAGCAGTAGATTTGGCTCTGTCATCTCACCTGTCAGTGCACGCAGCAGAGCGCTCGCTTTCAATCCAAGGGCGCGTTTAGTTGCGGCGGCGCCGCTGGATTTCCAAAAGTGAACAACTCGTATTTCATTCGTTCAGAAAAAGTAATAATTATCGCAAACATTTTAATGTAGCAAAAAACATTTGTCAAGTCCAAAGTACAATCAAATTAGGGAATGAAATTAGTTTTTGATTTAAATCTATATTTAACCTTCAACATGTGCAGCAGTAGATTTGGCTCGAAAAATCTTCTTTTTACATAATACCAAATTCAGAAAATTGGGGGAACTAGACATGACCCAAGTGGTACCGTATCCGCCGTATGGTGGCGCGTGTTCGTTTTCAGCAAAGAAAGTCGCTTTATATTCGGCAGTTTCGATCAAGCACAAATGCAGTTCGTTCAAAAAAATCAAGCACAAATGCACAATACAAGCAGGCTACGACAACTGCAGCAAAAGACGCAACAAAAGGATCCCCTCTTCATTGGTGCCCTGAACCGGCGCAACAGGTACCTCAGTTGCCTTGGTGACTC